ATACAAAACAAAAGGGGTCCCCCGAGATTCTTTTAAACTACTTCAAAAACATACGACAAGGTACCCCCGAGATTCCTAAAACTACTCCAAAAACGAAACACAAGAAGTCCCCGGGATTCTTTCAAACTAGTTCAAAAACAAACGACAAGGGACCCCCGACATTCTTAAAACTACTTCAAAAACAAACACAAAACATCCCCGAGATGCTTAAAACTACTTCGAAAATAAACACAAAACAACCCGGAGATCCTTAAAACTACTTCAGAAACAGAACAATATCGGTCGTCGAGAGTCTTTAAAACTACTTCAAATACAAAACAAAAGGGGTCCCCCGAGATTCTTTCAAACTACTTTAAAAACAAACAGAAAAGAACCGCGAGGTCCTTAGAACTACTTCGAAAACAACAAAATGGGTCCCCAAGATTCTTTAAAACTACCTCAAACACTAAACAAAAACGGTTCCCTGGGATTTTTTGAAACTACTCCAGAAACCGGACACGGATGGTCTTCAAGATTCTTTCAAACTACTTCAAAAACAAACACAAAATACCCCCTAGATTCTTTAAAAAACAAACACAAAATACCCCCTAGATTCTTTAAAACTACTTCAAAAATAAACACAAAACAACCCCGAGATTCTTAAAACTACTTCAAAAACAAAACGCAAGGAGTCTCCGTGATTCTTTCAAACTACTTCAAAAACAAACGACAAATAACCCCCGAGATTCTTAAAACTACTTCAAAAACAAAACACAAGGAGTCCCCGAGATTCTTTCAAACCACTTCAAAAACAAACGACAAGGGACCCCTGAGATTCTTAAAGCTACTTCAAAAACAAACGACAAGGGACTCCCGAGATTCTTAAAACTACTCCAAAATAAAACACAAGAAGTCCCCAGGATTCTTTCAAACTAGTTCAAAAACAAACGACAAGGGACCCCCGAGATTCTTAAAACTACTTCGGAAACAGAACAAAATGGGTTGCCGAGATTCTTTAAAACCACTTCAAATACAAAACAGAAGGGGTCCCCAAAGATTCTTTCAATCTACTTCAAAAACAAACACAAAAGAACCCCGAGGTCCTTAAAACTACTTCGAAAAACAGAACAAAATGGGTCCCTGAGATTCTTTAAAAGTACCTCAAAAACAAAAAAAAACGGTCCCCCGGGATTCTTTGAAACTACTCCAAAAACAATACACAGGTGGTCTCCGAGATTCTTTCAAATTACTTCAAACACAATACACAATGCGTCCCCGAGATTCTTAAAACTACTTCAAAAACAAACGACAAGGGACCCCCGAGATTCTTAAAACTACTTCAAAAACAAACTACAAGGGACCCCCGAGATTCTTTCCAACTACTTCAAAAACAGACTATAAGGGACCCCCGAGATTCTTAAAACTACTTCAAAAACAAACTACAAGGGACCTCCAAGATTCTTTCAAACTACTTCGAATACAAAACAAAAGAGGTCCCCGAGATTCCTTCAAACTACTTCAAAAACAAACACAAAAGAACCCCGAGGTCCTTAAAATTACTTCAAAAACAAAACACAAGGAGTCCCCGGGATTCTTTCAAACTAATTCAAAAATAAACCACAACGGACTCCCGAGATTCTTAAAACTATTTCAAAAACAAACGAGAAGGGACCTCCAAGATTCTTTAAAACCACTTCAAAAACCGGACACAGCCCCCCCCCCCCCCCCGAGATTCTTTCAAACTACTTCAAAAACAAAACACAAGGAGTCTCCGAGATTCTTTCAAACTAGTTCAAAAACAAGCGACAAGTAACCGCCGGGATTCTTAAAACTACTTCAAAAACAAACGACAAGGGACCCCCGAGATTCTTAAAACCACTCCAAAAACAAACGACAAGTAACCCCCGAGATTCTTAAAACTACTTCAAAAACAAACGATAAGTAACCCCCGGGATTCTTAAAACTCCTTCAAAAACAAAACACAAGAAGTCCCCGAGATTCTTTCAAACTACTTCAAAAACAAACGACAATGAACGCCTGAGATTCTTAAAACTACTTCAGAAACAGAGCAAAATGGGTTGCCGAGAGTCTTTAAAACTACTTCAAAAACAAACACAAAAAAAGCCCGAGGTCCTTAAAACTACTTCAAAAACAGAACAAAATGCGTCCCTGAGATTTTTTAAAACTAACTCAAAAACAAAACAAAAGGAGTCCCCGAGATTCTTTAAAACCACTTCAAAAAGCGGACAAAGGTGGCCTCCGAGATTATTTTAAACTACTTCAAAAACAACACAAAATGAGTCCCCGAGATTTTTTAAAACCACTTCAAATATCGGACACAGAAGGCAGGAGGTCCCCGAGATTCTTTCAAATTACTTCAAACACAAAACACAATGCGTCCCCGAGATTCTTAAAACTACTTCAAAAACAAAACACAAAGAGTCCCCGAGATTCTTTCAAACTACTTCAAAAACAAACGACAAAGGACCCCCGAGATTCTTAAAACTACCTACTCCAAAAACAAACGACAAGGGACCCCCGAGATTCTTAAAACTACTTCAAAAACAAATGACAAGGGACCTCCGAGATTCTTAAAACTACTTCAAAAACAAACTACAAAGGACCCCCGAGATTTTTTCAAACTACTTCGAATACAAAACAAAAGAGGTCCCCCGAGATTCCTTCAAACTACTTCAAAAACAAACACAAAAGAACCCCGAGGTCCTTAAAATTTACTTCAAAAACAAAACACAAGGAGTCCCCGGGATTCTTTCAAACTAATTCAAAAATAAACCACAAGGGACCCCCGAGATTCTTAAAACTATTTCAAAAACAAACGACAAGGGACCTCCAAGATTCTTTAAAACCACTTAAAAAACCGGACACAGGGGCCCCCCCGAGATTCTTTCAAACTACTTCAGAAACCAGACACAAGGAGTCTCCGAAATTCTTTCAAACTAGTTCAAAAATAAGCGACAAGTAACCACCGAGATTCTTAAAACTACCTCAAAAACAAACGATAAGGGACCTCCGACATTCTTAAAACTACTCCAAAAACAAACGACACGTAACCCCCGAGATTCTTAAACCACTTCAAAAACAAACGATAAGTAACCCCCGGGATTCTTAAAACTCCTTCAAAAACAAAACACAAGAAGTCCCCGAAATTCTTTCAAACTACTTCAAAAACAAACGACAATGAACGCCTGAGATTCTTACTTCAGAAACAGAGCAAAATGGGTTACCGAGAGTCTTTAAAACTACTTCAAAAACAAACACAAAAGAAGCCCGAGGTCCTTAAAACTACGTCAAAAACAGAACAAAAAGCGTCCCTGAAATTTTTTAAAAGTACCTCAAAAACAAAACAAAAGGAGTCCCCGAGATTCTTTAAAACCACTTCAAATATCGGACATAGGAGGCAGGAGGTCCCCGAGATTCTTTCAAATTACTTCAAACACAAAACACAATGCGTCCCCGAGATTCTTAAAACTACTTCAAAAACAAAACACAAAGAGTCCCCGAGATTCTTTCAAACTACTTCAAAAACAAACAACAAGGGACCCCCGAGATTCTTAAAACTACCTACTCCAAAAACAAACGACAAGGGACCCCCGAGATTCTTAAAACTACTTCAAAAACAAATGACAAGGGACCCCCGAGATTCTCTCAAACTACTTCAAAAACAATACAAAAGGAGTCCCCGAGATTCTTTAAAACCACTTCAAAAAGCGGACAAAGGTGGTCCCTGAGATTGTTTCAAATTACTTCAAACACAAAACATAATGCGTCCCCGAGATTCTTAAAACTACTTCAAAAACAAAACACAAGGAGTCCCCGAGATTGTTTCAAACTACCTCAAAAACAAACGACAAGAAACCCCTGAGATTATTTCAAACAATTTAAAAAAGAAACACAAAAGAACTCCGAGATCCTTAAAACCACTTGAAAAACAGAACAAAATGGGTCCCCGATATTCTTTAAAACTACTTCAAAAACAAAAGTAGTAGTAATATATTGTCCATGTTTTCTTTACATGAGCCCAGTCGTTATGTTCGTAATACACGATTTTTAGATGTATCATATCATAGAACTATGTAGTATTCCTGTACCAGCAGATTATCAAGACTAGTAAATTCTCTATCGCGCTTATATTTGGGTGTGGCGACACAATAATAAGTAGTAGTAAGCGAAGAAAGATAAGAGGTTTCGTGGTCTAGTGGTCAGGATACCTTCCCGGTAAGTGGAGGGTGTGTGGTTCGATTAACAACGAGGCAGCAACCATTTTCTGCGCTTACTTACATGGGTATTGGGTATATCTTCTAATTCTTTTAAGTACAAATAAAAAACTGTTTTATTTAGGATTGTGAAATTTTATTTTATTGTATACTCATATATATATTTATTACATATTAATGCATTATATGTCTGTATATGTAAAATGTCCAAGTCCGTTAATAAATTCTATATAATAAAAAAGGGATTCTTTCAAACTACTTCAAAAATAAAAGTCAAGGGGCTCCCGAGATTCTTTCAAATTGCTTCAAAAACGATACACAGAAAGATCTCCGAAATTCTTTCAAATCTTCCCCTGGTAGCAACAACATTTAATCGTAATTTATTAAAGTGACATCATCAATTTTCCAAAGAGGTTATATAAAGTATGATTCCTTGTTTCCTTTTGTCGGCTGCTTGGTAATCAAAGTTTGTCTTTAGATGGGCGCTCTTAGAAATTAAATTTTTGTAATATACTCCCTACCCGTATACATTAGGGTGTTAATACATGATTTACATCTGGTGGGCTGTGAAATTCATTTATTAATGTGCCGCTTCGTTTGAATTTCTGCTCAATTAATTATGAAACTTTAATATCCGATTAACAGAAACACAATTAAATATTTGATTGCGATTAAATTTTTAACGACATTAAAGTATCACGTGGGTAACTCTACGCCAATCAGACGTCGCTCAACGCCTCATTAAATGCGTGATTGACTTACCCTCATTTAAAATATTCTTTCTTAACCTATTGGTTGTTGGTTCTCTCTACCAGTTCTTCATATAACCTTCTAATTTTTTCTTCACGTCGTCAATTGTCATTTTTTAGTTTTGAAAAACTAACCTCTATTCTGGGCCTGCTGGTTCAAAGCTAGGGAGTATTGATTTCAAGAAAAAGGCTAAAAAATTACATAACTTTACTGTTCGTAAATACATACAAGATTATATTATTAATACCATATCACAAAGTAAAGATTTATATAAAGGGTGCAAACGATCGTAAGTCTTGTGGAAAGTTAATTTGTGCTAAAGTCGTTTCTTAACTAACAATCTTTATGTATATGTAAATGTATATCATACCTCGTAACGTAAGTATAATGTATAATAATATATAAAAATTATGATTTATCAACGGTATAACTATTTTTAAATTTTATATCTAGTTCAATTCACAGTAACAAACAGCGAAATTAGTCGTCGACAAAACCGCCGGCTAGGGTTTTGGCTTGAGAAGGTTGGCACAGAAATAGGAATGGCAGTGCTGCAACTTAAAACGAACGAAGTAGGCGCGAAAGCGAAGGGAACACTAGACACTTCTGGAGGCACCAAGCAACGTACGAAAATACTTCTAAATCAAAGCATACTTAAAGTCGAATTTCGTTATGACACACTTTGGCGACATTTACTCTAACTTAGCACCTCTGGGTGTTCTTGACAAAATTTTGCACAATAGTGTAAGGCAAGGGGTGATTCAAACGTGAGTGTCAAAGGCATCTAAAGTGATCGCTATGGGGTGTCAGAGTTGCCAAAATTCTGTCTAAAACGTCAAGTTCGTGACGTGTCAATTCATGCATTATTGTGACGTGAACACAGACACTTCCAAAACATCGTGTGACAGTTTCACTATATTAATAAATAATTCAAAAACACTGCGTTGCTTTTTAAGAAAACGTATGATCGCATGAGTGCTCAATTAATACTTTTAGCAGTGTGCCATGCCAGAATATACTTAAAAGTTAGAATTTTGGTATCAAAATCAACTTAACCTATATCGACAAATTATTGCGTCAAAAAATTTGATTAAATGCAACTGAGCAACTGAACAAGCACAAGCGTCATAATTATTGCATTAATTCAACGTAATTGGCTGGGAAGAGCCCGTAAGTACCGTTGGGAGCTAGACCTTGCCACCAGCCCTCGTCCACTTGATCGATGTTTGTGATTATGTCACCTGGATCAAAGGTCCCCCGAGATTCTTTCAAACTACTTCAAAAACAAATACAAAAGAACCCCGAGGTCCTTAAAACTACTTCGAAAAACAGAACAAAATGGGTCCCTGAGATTCTTTAAAACTACCTCAAAAACAAAACAAAAAGGTTCCCCCGGGATTCTTTGAAACTACTCAAAAAACCGGACACAAGTGGTCTTCAAGATTATTTCAAATTACTTCAAAAACAAACGACAAGAGACCCCCGAGATTCTTAAAACTACTTCAAAAACAAACGACAAGGGACCCCCGAGATTCTTAAAACTACTTCAAAAACAAAACACAAGGAGTCTCCGAGATTCTTTCAAACTAGTTCAAAAACAAACGACAGGTAACCCCCGAGATTCTTAAAACCACTTCAAAAAAACAAAACACAAGAAGTCCCCGAGATTCTTTCAACCTACTTCAAAAACAAACGACTAGTAACCCCCGAGATTCTTAAAACTAGTTCAAAAACAAACGACAAGGGACCCCCGAGATTCTTAAAATTACTTCAAAAACAAACGACAAGGGACCCCCGAGATTCTTAAAACTACTTCAAAAACAAAACACAAGGAGTCCCCGAGATTCTTAAAACTACTTCAAAAACAATACACAAGAAGTCCCCGAGATTCTTTCAAACTACTTCAAAAACAAACGACAACGAACCCCCGAGATTCTTAAAACTACTTCAAAAACAAACGACAAGGGACCCCCGAGATTCTTAAAACTACTTCAAAAACAAACGACAAGGGACCCCCGAGATTCTTTAAAACCACTTCAAAAACAGGACACAGGTGGCCCCCGAGATTCTTTTGAACTACTTCAAAAACAAAACAAAAGGGGTCCCCGATATTCTTTAAAACTACTTCAAAAACCGGACGCAGGTGGCCCCCGACATCCTTCAAATTATTTTAAACACAAAACACAATGCGTCCTGAGATCCTTAAAACTACTTCAAAAACAAACGAGAAGAGACCCCGAGATTCGTTAAAATCACTCCAAAAACAGGACACAGGTGGCACGGAGACTCTTTCAAATTACTTCACACACAAAACACATTGCTTCCCTGAGATCATTAAAACTACTTCAGAAAGAAAATACAAGGAGTCCCCGAGATTGTTTCAAACTACTTCAAAAACAAACGGCAAGAGACCCCCGAGATTCTTAAAACCACTTCAAAAACAAACGACAAGGGACCGCCGAGATTCTTAAAACTACTTCAAAAACAGAACACAAGGAGTCTCCGAGATTCTTTCAAACTAGTTCAAAAACCAACGACAAAAGTAACCCCCGAGATTCTTAAAACTACTTCAAAAACAAAACACAAGAAATCCCGAGATTCTTTCAAACTACTTCAAAAAGAAACGACAACGAACCCCCGTGATTCTTAAAATTACTTCAAAAACAAACGGCAAGAGACCCCCGAGATTCTTAAAACTACTTCAAAAACAAACGACAAAGGACCCCCGAGATTCTTTAAAACCATTTCAAAAACAGGACACAGGTGGCCCCCGAGATTCTTTTGAACTACTTCGAAAACAAAACAAAAGATGTCCCCGAGATTCTTTCAAACTAGTTCAAAAACAAACGACAAGTAACCCCCGAGATTCTTAAAACTACTTCAAAAACAGAACACAAGGAGTCCCCGAGATTCTTTCAAACTAGTTCAAAAACAAACGACAAGTAACCCCCGAGATTCTTAAAACTACTTCAAAAACAAAACACAAGAAGTCCCCGAGATTCTTTCAAACTATTTCAAAAACAAACGACAACGAACCCCCGTGATTCTTAAAATTACTTCAAAAACAAACGGCAAGAGACCCCCAAGATTCTTAAAACTACTTCAAAAACAAACGACAAATGTCCCCCGAGATTCTTTAAAACCATTTCAAAAACAGGACACAGGTGGCCCCCGAGATTCTTTTGAACTACTTCAAAAACAAAACAAAAGGGGTCCCCGAGATTCTTACAAATTACTTCAAAAACAAACGACAACGAACCCCCATGATTCTTAAAACTAGTTCAAAAACAAACGACAAGGGACCCCCGAGATTCTTAAAATTACTTCAAAAACAAACGACAAGGGACCCCCGAGATTCTTAAAACTACTTCAAAAACAAAACACAAGGAGTCCCCGAGATTCTTAAAACTACTTCAAAAACAAAACACAAAAAATCCCCGAGATTCTTTCAAACTACTTTAAAAACAAACGACAACGAACCCCCAAGATTCTTAAAACTAGTTCATAAACAAACGACAAGGGACCCCCGAGATTCTTAAAACTACTTCAAAAACAGAACACAAGGAGTCCACGAGATTCTTTCAAACTACTTCAAAAACAAACAACAAGGGACGGCCGAGATTCTTAAAACTACTTCAAAAACAGAACACAAGGAGTCTCCGAGATTCTTTCAAACTAGTTCAAAAACCAACGACAAAAGTAACCCCCGAGATTCTTAAAACTACTTCAAAAACAAACGACAACGAACCCCCGTGATTCTTAAAATTACTTCAAAAACAAACGGCAAGGGACCCCCGAGATTCTTAAAACTACTTCAAAAACAAACGACAAATGACCCCCGAGATTCTTTAAAACCATTTCAAAAACAGGACACAGGTGGCCCCCGAGATTCTTTTGAACTACTTCAAAAACAAAACAAAAGGGGTCCCCGAGATTCTTTCAAACTACTTCAAAAACAAACGACAACGAACCCCCGAGATTCTTAAAACTAGTTCAAAAACAAACGACAAGGGACCCCCGAGATTCTTAAAATTACTTCAAAAACAAACGACAAGGGACCCCCGAGATTCTTAAAACTACTTCAAAAACAAAACACAAGGAGTCCCCGAGATTCTTTCAAACTAGTTCAAAAACAAACGACAAGTAACCCCCGAGATTCTTAAAACTACTTCAAAAACAAAACACAAGAAATCCCCGAGATTCTTTCAAACTACTTCAAAAACAAACGACAACGAACCCCCAAGATTCTTAAAACTAGTTCATAAACAAACGACAAGGGACCCCCGAGATTCTTAAAACTACTTCAAAAACAGAACACAAGGAGTCCACGAGATTCTTTCAAACTACTTCAAAAACAAACAACAAGGGACCGCCGAGATTCTTAAAACTACTTCAAAAACAGAACACAAGGAGTCTCCGAGATTCTTTCAAACTAGTTCAAAAACCAACGACAAAAGTAACCCCCGAGATTCTTAAAACTACTTCAAAAACAAAACACAAGAAGTCCCCGAGATTCTTTCAAACTACTTCAAAAACAAACGACAACGAACCCCCGTGATTCTTAAAATTACTTCAAAAACAAACGGCAAGGGACCCCCGAGATTCTTAAAACTACTTCAAAAACAAACGACAAAGGACCCCCGAGATTCTTTAAAACCATTTCAAAAACAGGACACAGGTGGCCCCCGAGATTCTTTTGAACTACTTCAAAAACAAAACAAAAGGGGTCCCCGAGGTTCTTTCAAACTACTTCAAAAACAAACACAAAAGAACCCCGAGATCCTTAAAACTACTTCAGAAACAGAACAAAATTGGTCCCTGAGATTCTTTAAAACTACTTTAAAAACAAAAGTAATAGTAGTATATTGTCCATGTTTTCTGCTGGTTGGTAATCAAACGTTGTCTTTACGTGGGCGTTCATAGAGACCTTCCTCAGGGGGGAAATACTTATTTTTTTGTAATATACTCCCTACCTGTATACATATAGGGTGTTAATAAATGATTTACATCTAGTGGGCTACGAAATTCATTTATTAATGTGCCGCTTCGTTTGAATTTCTGCTAAATTAATTATCAAACTTTAAATCAAATTTTAACGTTTATTTCTTTAAATCACATTTTCCAAATCAAATTTTTCGAAAGCAATTTTTTGTGCGAACAAGAGGATGATGATGAACGCTTAACTGCTCTTTACACAGACACAATTAAGTATTTGATTGCGATTAAATTTTTAACACCACATTAAAGTATCACGTGGTCAACTCTACGCCAATTGGACGTCGCTGAACGCCTCATTAAATGGGTGATTGACTTAACCTATTGGTTGTTGGTTCTCTCTACCAGTTCTTCATATAACCTTCCAATTGTTGTTCCCGTTGTCAGTTTGTTTCTCATGGTTCTTTCGAGCCCATTTTTTTTTTAAAAACTAACCTCTATTCTGGAAGTGCTGGTACAACGCTGGGGAGTATTGATTGCAAGAAAAAGGCTAAAAAATTACATAACTTTACTGTTCGTAAATACATACAAGATTATATTATTAATACCATATCACAAAGTAAAGATTTATATAAAGGGTGCAAACGATCGTAAGTCTTGTGGAAAGTTAATTTGTGCTAAAGTCGTTTCTTAACTAACAATCTTTATGTATATGTAAATGTATATCATACCTCGTAACGTAAGTATAATGTATAATAATATATAAAAATTATGATTTATCAACGGTATAACTATTTTTAAATTTTATATCTAGTTCAATTCACAGTAACAAACAGCGAAATTAGTCGTCGACAAAACCGCCGGCTAGGGTTTTGGCTTGAGAAGGTTGGCACAGAAATAGGAATGGCAGTGCTGCAACTTAAAACGAACGAAGTAGGCGCGAAAGCGAAGGGAACACTAGACACTTCTGGAGGCACCAAGCAACGTACGAAAATACTTCTAAATTAAAGCATACTTAAAGTCGAATTTCGTTATGACACACTTTGGCGACATTTACTCTAACTTAGCACCTCTGGGTGTTCTTGACAAAATTTTGCACAATAGTGTAAGGCAAGGGGTGATTCAAACGTGAGTGTCAAAGGCATCTAAAGTGATCGCTATGGGGTGTCAGAGTTGCCAAAATTCTGTCTAAAACGTCAAGTTCGTGACGTGTCAATTCATGCATTATTGTGACGTGAACACAGACACTTCCAAAACATCGTGTGACAGTTTCGCTATATTAATAAATAATTAAAAAACACTGCGTTGCCTTTTTAAACGTATGATCGCCTGAGTGCTCAATTAATACTTTTAGCAGTGTGCCATGCCAGAATATACTTAAAAGTTAGAATTTTGGTATCAAAATGAACTTAACCTATATCGACAAATTATTGCGTCAAAAAATTTGATTAAATGCAACTGAGCAACTGAACAAGCACAAGCGTCATAATTATTGCATTAACTCAACGTAATTGGCTGGGAAGAGCCCGTAAGTACCGTTAGGAGCTAGACCTTGCCACCAGCCCTCGTCCACTTGGTCGATGTTTGTGATTATGTCACCTGGATCAAAGGTGATTTCACTGTCGTCAGCTACAATTAAAACAAATCATTTTTGGTTAATGAATGACGGGTGGTTTGTTACCGGCTTGATAATCATAAAGAGCTCTAGCTTGAAGTCCTGGGGTGCTAAATTCATACAAGTATTCGTCCACAAATTGTTGATCTGTGATTTGTTCGATGGGTTGAATTTTTTCCTCTTTCGGAAGCTCGTTCACAGGAGCCTCCGCTAAAGTCGGGCTTGTAACACTTTTCTTATCCAAGTCTTTCGGAGAACGTTTGATTGTTGAAAATTGGTCACCCTCTTCGTCGCTATCATACGGTTTTGCCTCAACCGTCAAATTCTGCGCCTTCAAAATCGAGTTTCTGACCGGCTTTTCGGGGGTTTTTTTCTGCCCAGCTGACGTATGTTGTTCGAAAATTGATCTAGCGTCAATCGTTCTCTGCGAAATTAAATCCTCAGCCTCTTGTTTCCGCTGCTTTCTCAAAACCTCACTCTGATTCACCCTATTCACGAACTCCTCTTCGAAATCGTCGTAATTCGACGCCTCCACAGCACTACTAGCAGCCTCCTTTTCGGCCTGTTTGATCAAATCGATGTTGTTGTTCCTGCGGGACATCTCCGCGTCCCGTTTGGCCGTCTCCTGGAGCTCCCTCTTCTTCAGCTCCTCTTCGCTTTTCATCCTCTCCAACTCCTTCCGCTTCCGCTCCTCCTCCACCCGCTTCTTCTCCTCTTCCTCTTCCTTCCGCCAGAACTGGTCCCTCTCCCTTGAATTAATCTCTTTAATGGGGTTCACCCGCTGGTACGTCGTCCCCACGGGCCCCGACGGCTCGATGATCTCCGCCCGCGGCGCCTTGAAGCTGTACGCCGACCCCGACTTGGCCACCTTGTCGATGATGAGCTGGGGCTCCACTTCCTCTTCGTTGCGAGCGCTTATTGTCAAATGTGCGCCGGTGAAGAACTTCTCCACGTCGCGGAGGTGGTTGGCGGAGATGCCTTTGCGGAGCGTGTTGGCCCCCTCGCCCTGCCAGTTGATCAGGACGAACTTGGTTAGGGACGTTTTGGGGTCTTCGACTTGCACGAAAGCGTACATGATTTTGCCGCTGTTGAAGTCCTCGGTGAGCTCTTCGATGCCGGCGGAGCCCTTGCTCACGAACTTGAGGATGTTGGTTTGGCCCTCGTAGGCGAATAAGGCCCTGGAAAGGGGGAGTCATGGATGGAGATTGTGCGGTGGTGGCTTACCAGTTTGTGGCGGTTTTGGCGTCGAGGACGTCCTTCCAGGCGGAGACGAGCTCGTCGCGGTGTTTGTCGAGGTTTATTGCCATTGTTTTAATTCATTAAGTGCGGAATGTGTGGCTTTTCGAGGAAAAATTGATAAACTGATAGGGGTCCACCTGCGGATGACATTTGACTTTGACGTTTGGTTTGACGGATGACAGCCAGACAGCGGCGGTTGAGTAACACTAGAATTTTGTATTATTTATTTTAATTAATTAGATTCCTTTTGAGACGTTTTGGTATAATAACAAAATCGCACAAGCCGCTTTTTGTCTGTGGCGTAAATTAAGGAAAAAATTAAGTGCGGTCAAGGTGGCTGAAATGTCAGTGGTTGTAGTTATGCAACCCAAAATACACTGGAATTTACAAAAATTTAAATTACTACATTTCGTATTAATGATAAACAAAAAAAATTATTGTGGCTGTTCGCCTTGGCTTTTTTTTTCTTTCTCGGCCGCCTCAATATGGAATATTTGTGCTTCATCGCAGTACATGTGGTATCCACCTTAATTGTGCCTCTTCTACTGTGGTTTGTATTAGTTGTTTTCAAATTTTCTCCCATTCCCATTTCTCTCTTGCTTTTTCTTCTGCTTTTCTAAAAAATGTAAATTTTTTAGTTTTTCCGGTTTACGATTTCTCAATTTTTCGATTATTTACTTTTCAAATTTTATTTTGCAAATTTTCGACCGATCGATTTCAGTTTTAAAATGTTTCAATTTTTCTGCTTTGAAATTTTCAATTTTTCGTGTGTTCAATTTTTCAATATCTTAATTTTTCGATTTCAGTTTTTAAAATTTGCGGAAGAACATCAAAAATTCTTGAGCAACGTGAAAAGAAGTCTATAAGAGAAAATCTTTAATCCAAAATCTGTTTGTTTACAATTTTTAAAAGTGAAAGATCGAAAAATTGAAAAATTGAGCACCAGAAACTTGAATTATTGAGAAATTAAGAAGAACAAAATTTGAAGACGTTTAAATTGAAAGTTGGAGAAATTGAAAACCGAAATTTTGAAAAATCAAAACATCGAAAAAACGAAAAATCGGTTACATAGAAAATTTGCAAATCAAAAAATTGAACATTTTTAAAATTAAAAATCGAGAAACTGAAAAATCGAAAATACGAAAAATTAGAATATGTACTCAGAAATTAGAATTCAATTTTTCGATTTTTAATCTTTCTAATTTTCGATTTTTCGAATTTTCTAATTTTAGATCTTCCAATATTCGAATTTTCAATTTTCATGCTTTTCGATTTTTCAACTTTTCCATTCTTTTCTTTTTACCCTTCATTTTTTTTCCATTCTTCAGTTTATCGATTTCTCAATTTTTTATTTTTTGATCTTTGGAGTTTTCGTCCTCTCAATTTTCGATTTTTGATTTTTCTAATTTTCGGGTTTTCGATATTTCAATTGTTCGATTTTTCAAATTTTTGAATTTTCGAATGTTCCAAACTTATATTTTCCAGTGTCCGAAATTTCAATATTTTTGTTATTCAATTTTTCTATTTTTTAATTTCTCGAATTTTCGATTTTCGATTTTTCAATTTTCGATTTTTCAATTTACGATTTTTCCATTTTCACTTTTCATTTTCGATTTTAGATTTTTCAATTTTCGATCTATAAATTTTCAGTTTTCCATTTTCGATTTTTCGATTTACGTTTCTTTGATTTTCGGTTTTTCGATTTCCATTATTTGATTTTCGAATTTTCAATTCTGATTTGTTTTTAATTTTCGAGTTCTTAATTTGTCCAGTTTATCGATTTTTCAGTATTTTTACTTTTTGATTTTTTTTTCTCGAGTTTTCGATTTTTCGATTTTTGGACTTTGGTTTTTTGTTTTCTTGATTTGTCGATATGCAATTTTTGCAATTTTCAACTTTTCGATATTCCAGTTTTTCAATTTTTAAATTTAGAAAGTTGAAAAATCGAAAAATTAAAAATCCAAAGAGACGAAAAATTTCGAAGTTGAAAAATTGAAACTCGGTAAGTTTTCGAGTTATCAATTTTTTGACTTTCCGATTTTTCGATGTTTCAATTTTTCGATTTTCGATTTTTCCATTTTCTGAATTTTCAAATTTTCCAATTTTATTTTTTCGGTTTTCGATTTCTCAAGTTTTCGAGTTTTCAAGTTTTTGATTTTTCGATTTTTACCATTTTTTAATTTTTTCCATTCTTCAATTTTTTACTTCTCACGCAATTAGATTTTGCAATATTTGAATTTTCAATTTTTTTGCTTTTCGATTTTTCAATTTTTTGCTTTTCGATTTTTTAATTTTTTTGCTTTCCGATTTTTTGATTTTAGAATTATCGATTTTCATTTTTCCAATTTTCGATTTTAATTTTTCCATTCTTCAGTTTTTGGACTTCAATTTTTTGACTTTTCCGTTTTTCAATTTCTGGAATTTTCGATTTTCGAATTTTCAATTTTCGGATATTTGATTTTCGATTTTCTTAATTTTTCCATTCCTCAGTTTTTACTCTTTGATTTTTTGATTTCTCGAGTTTTCGATTTTGTTTTTTCGTGTTCTCGATATGCAATTTTTGGAATTTTCAATTTCTCGATGTACTACATAATTTCTCAAATTTTATATTTCGAGAATAAAAAGTCGAAAAAATTAAAAGGGAACACGAAAAATTTCAAAGTTGAAAAATTGAAAAATTCAATCTCGGAAAGTTTTCAAGTTATCAATTTTTTGACTTTTCGATGTTTGGATGGTTTTTTTTCAAATTTCAAATCAGTTTTTGATTTCTTAAGTTTTCGAGTTTTTAATTTTTCGATTTTTCTCGATTTTTGACTTTTTTCCATTCTTCAGTTTTTTACTTTTAAATTGTTTTGCTTTTTGAGCTTCCGATTTCTCCATTTCCGACTTTCGAATTTTCGTTTCTTCGAATTTTCGACATTCGAGTTTCCAATCTTTCTGTTTAAAACTCAAAAATTCAATTGTAAGATTTCTGGATTCTCCATTTTTTTTTTTTGTTTTTGTATGGTTTTCGATTTTTAGATCTTCCTATTTTTCGGAGTTTAGAATTAGAGAATTGAAAAATCGCAAAATTAAAAACAAAGAAACCAAAGAATCGAAAAATTGAAAAACCGATTAAATGAAGACATGAAAAATTAAAAAATGGGAAAATTAAAATCTAAGAAACTGAAAAATGAAAAATTTTAAATTGAACCCTCGAAAAATTGCAATATCCAAAAATTGAAGAAATGAAAAATTGAAAAGTTAAAAATTGAAAAATCGAAAAATTCCAAGTTGAAGACTGAGGACGCGAAAAATTTAAACCTGGAAACCGAAAAGTCTGAAAGTGAAAAGCAAAAAATTGTAACAGAAAAATTGGACAATAGAAGTATAAAAATTAAAAATCAAGAAATTCAAAACATTTAAAAAAAGATAAATCAAAAAAACGAAAAATCAAAAAATTGTAAGATCGAAAATTTGCAAATTGAATGAAGAAATGAAATGAAAAATCGAGAAAATAAAAAAACCGAAAATGGGCACATCGAAAAATTGAAAAATCCAAAAACTGAAGAAATGAAAAATTGAAAAATTAAAGATTAAAACGCGAAAAATTCCAAGTTCAAAACTAAAGAAAAATTCCAAAGTTGAACAAATGAAAAATAAAAAAATCGAAAAATTAAAGATTGAGAAACTGAGGACCGAAAATTCAAAAAATTATCGAAAAATTGAAAAATTCTAAAATTGAAGACACTAAAAATTCAAATATCCAAAAATTAAAAATGAAAAATTGAAAACTCAAAAAATTGCAAGTCCAAAAAAATTAAAGAGACGAACAATTAAAAACTGGAGAACTGAGGAATCGTCAAAGTGAAAAATCAAAACATTGAAAATACGAAAAATTGTAAGATCAAAAAATTGCGAATGGAAAAACTGAAACATCGAAAAACTGAGAACTGAAAATTGAAAATTCGAGAATTAAAAACTAGAAACTGAAAAATCTAGAAAATAACAAAAAAGCGAAAATTGGCACATGGAAAAATTGAAAAATCCAAAAACTGAAGAAATGAAAAATTGAAAAATTAAAAACGCGAAAAATTCTAAGTTCAAAACTGAAGAAACGAAAAATTAAGAACTAGAAACCGAAAAATCTGAATGTGAAAAATCAAAAAATTTTAAGGTCCAAAATTTGCAAATCGAACGAAGAAACGAAAAATTAAAAAATCGAAAAATTATAAACTAAGAAACTGAAAAATGGAAAAAAAGAAAAATCAAAATATTGAATAATTGAAAAATTGCAAATCGAAAAATTGAAAAATTCCAAAGTTGAAAAAGTAAAAAATTTTAAAATGAACAAATGAAAAATATAAAATCGAAAAATTAAAAACTAAGAAACTGAAAAATGGAAAAAACGAAAAATCAACATATTTAAAAATTGAAAATTGAAAATTTGAAAAATTAAAAACTAAAAACTGAAAAATCGAGAAAAAAAAGACGCTAAAATTGGCATATCGAAAAATTGAAAAATCTAAAAACTGAAGGAATGAAAAATTGAAAAATTAAAGATTAAAAATTCGAAAAATTCCAAGTTCAAAACTGACGAACCGAAAAATTAAAAATTAGAAACCGAAAAATCTAAAAGTGAAAAACCAAAAAATTGTAACAGAAAAATCGCACAATCGAAATATAAAAAATAAAAATCAAGAAATTAAATGAAAACGAAAAAAAAAAAATTGTAAGATCCAAAATTTGCAAATCAAATGAAGAAATCGAAAATTAAAAAATGGAAAAATTAAAAACTAAGAAACTGAAAAATTGAAAAAACGAAAAATCAAAATATTTAAAAATTGAAAAATTGCAAATCGAAAAATTAAAAAACGAAAAACTAAAAACTGGAGAACTGAGAAATCGTCAAAGCGAAAAATTAATTGTAAGAAAAATTGTAAAATCGAAAAACTGCAAATTGAAAAATTGAAAAATAGAAAAACTGAAGAACTGAAAATTGAAAATTTGAAAAATTAAAAACTAGAAACTGAAAAATCTAGAAAAAAAAACACGAAAATTGGCACATCGAAAACTTGAAAAATCTAAAAACTGAAGAAATGAAAAATTGAAAAATTAATGATTGAAAACTCGAAAATTCCAAGTACAAAAATGAAGAAACGAAAAATTAAAAACTAGAAACTCAAAAATTTGAAAGTGAAAAATCAACAAATTGTAACATGGAAAACTTGCACAATTGAAATGTAAAAATCAAGAAATTAAAAAACGAAACATTGTGATTTATAAAAATTTTCTAATTGTTCTCAGTTATGTCACTGATAACCGCAATCACGCTTTATCACTCGATCAACCTTCTCAACTCACTTCACTATTTAAAGATCGACACAAAAATACTCACCGTAGTACTCGCTGTTAACTCCATCTAAAATTGTGATCTACTTAAAATTCTGAAACGTGTCAGCCATGTCATCCAAGTGCATAGAACCCGAAAAACTCTACTCCAGAGACCCCAAACTGACAAAACAAGACGTAGAAATCATCAAAGAATGGTTGAAAAAGCAGCCACATTTACCAGAATTGCACGGTGGGTAACTTCCTACATCCACTAAATCGTCCTAACTGATAAAATCGTCCCCAGAAACACAAATTCTTCTGTCCCTCCACAGCTGCTACTACCAAATCGAAGCAGCCAAAACCGCCATCGACAACTACTTCACCGTAAGAAACCTTTGCCCTGAAATTTTCACAGCCCTTAAACCCGACGTGTTGAAAATCACTTCGCCGGTGGTGTAAGTCAGATTGTGGACCAAAAACGCCACTTTTTACCCAACTCTAACTAAAATCGCAGGTTTACTGGTGTTTTACCAAAGAGAACTCCTGATGGTTGTGGAATCCTCATGTTCAAACTACTTGATACAAAAACGGACAGCTTCAACTGTGCTAATATTATAAATCTGATTAATATGGTTAGTGTGCTGTATTTGCACCTGAATGGGGCTGACACTGGAGTGGTGGCCTTGTTTGACATGAAAGGGTTCTCACTAGGGCATCTGACAAGACTGAACGTGAACCCCATCAAGCACGCCCTTTGTCTAGTCCAAGTATGTCTCTGACTTTCAACTCTAACCCTTGACTTATTTTTTTTATTTAAGGAAGGAACTCCTGTCAGGATCAAAGGAATACACGTGATGAATGCCAGCCCTTTGATTGACAAAATCATGGCCCTAATCAAACCCTTCTTGAAAACCGAAATTTACAACCTGGTACGGATTTATTATTAAACACTGTCGGTTTGTTGTCACTGTTATTTTCAGCTGCAATTCCACACTCCTAATTCGGACACCCTGTATAAGAGTGTGCCGAAGGAGTGTTTGCCCGAAGAGTACGGAGGTGCGCAGCCGTCCAGTCAAACTATGAACGGTTAGTAATTATATAAAAAAAAAACAGTTATCTACAGTTTCAAAGATTTTAGAGCAAAATATGAAGAATATTTTGGACAACTATGATTTGTTGGAATGGCACGAGGGTCAGAAGGTGGACGAAAAGAAACGAATGGGGAAATCCAAACTGGCCAACGATGTTTTTGGAGTTGAAGGCACCTTCAAGAAACTTGAAATTGATTGATAAAAAAGTTCATAGTGTCAAGTAGGTACTGTTATTGAAACAATGATATCAGATTAAGATCGAGTGTTTTTTATTGACAATATATACATCGGAAGCACCACTGTGTTTTTTTTTTTAAAGATAAGATAAAAATCTAGTGTTTATTGATATCAAAACCACGAGATCGAAACTCGCCACTCTACCAACATTTATTACTTATTCTTATCAGATTTTTATGCACAAAATGTCTTCAAAATATACACAATTTTTGATAAATCTCTATAAATGCATTTATTACCTAAATTGCGGCGTTTAACAAAGTACCCCTGGGTTCAGGTGACAGTGGAGCAGTGGGCAAGTTTTCTTTATATATTTTAGCAATGAAAGGTGACTTTACAAATATTTTCTTACCGATTTTTGTAAAAAAAAATTATAATAACATTTTACAGTTTAATTTTAAATTTGCAAAATCGAGTGATTAGTCATGCCCCCCTAATGTTATTTAAATGCTAAAGAGTAGCTTGGAAAAAATCAAAATTGTAAATGTAAGAATTTTTCGAGTTCTCAATTTTTCGAATTTTCGATTTTTAAACTTTCGATTTCTCAATTTTTCTTTTCTTCAGTTTTTCTTTTTTTCAATTTTTCGGTTTAACAATTTTTCAATTGCTCGATTTAGCTTTACATTCTATGGTTGTCCAATTTCTTGATTTTTCGATTTTTCAAGTTTTTTATGTCTTCATTTTTTTTATTTAAAATTTTTCGGTTTTTAATATTTCGATTTTTCGTTTTTTGGTCCGTTTGGATTTTTTAATTTTTCAATTTTGCGCTTGATTATTCTTTTGATGATTCGATTTATCGATTTTTTAGTTTTTAAAATTTTGGTTTTCAATTTTTCAATTTTTCTATTACTCATTTTTCGATATATCTATGTTGGAAATTTTCAATTTTTCGTTTTTTCAATATTCTCGATTTTGCCATTTTTTGATTTTTCAATTTTCCGATGCTCCAGTTTTACGGTTATTCAATTTTTCGTCTATTCAAATTTTCGATTTCTCAATTTCACGATTAAACGATTTTTTAATTCATCCATTTCACGATTTGTCGATTTTTCGAACTCGATTTCACGATTTTCCAATTTTTTGGTGTTTCAGTTTTAGGATTTTTCAATTTTTCAATTTTTCGATATTTCAGTTTTGGGATTTTCCAGTATTTCGATTTTTCCATGTTTCGTCTTTTTGATTTTGTGATTTCTAGATTTTTTACTTTTTCGATTTGCAAATTTTGGGCTAGATTTCGATGTTTCTATTTTCTAGTTGTTCAATTTCGTGATTGTTCGATTTTTCAGTTTTTCGATGTATCCATTTTTTTAATTTAAAAGTTATCCGTTTTTAACATTTAAATTTTTTAATTTTTGGATTTCTCGACTACTCGATTTCACTATCTCTTAATGATTCCACTTCTCAATTTTTTAGTTTTTAAATTTTTGATTTTCGAGTTTTCAGTTTTTCAATTTTTCGGTTACTCACTTTTTCGATATTTCAGTGTTGGTTTTCAATTTTTCGATTCTTCAATATGCCGATTTTTTTTCGATTTCTCGATTTTGCCATTTATTGAGTTCTCACTTTTACGATGCTCCAGTTTTACAATTTTTCGATATCTCAATTTCACGATTAAACGATTTTTTTATCTTCCTTCCCGTTTCACGATTTTTCAGTTTCTCAATTCTTCAGATTTTCAATTATTCAATGTTGCGATTTTTCAATTTTTCGATATTTTAAATTTTCGATTTTTCGACTTCGAATTCTTGATTTTACATTTGTTTGATGTTTCAGTTTTAGGATTTTTCAGAACCCATATTCAACTTTTCTTCCATTTTTCAATGCTTCGATATTTTAGTTTTTGGGATTTTCAGTATTTGGATTCTTCAATTTTTCGATTTTTAAATTTTAGATTTTTCATTTTTTCGATTTCTCAATCTTTCGATTTTTCGACTTCTCGATTTTAGGCTTTCGGTTTTTCAACTTTTCAATGTTTAAAATTTTCGATTTTGCGTTTTTTTAATTTTTTAATTTGTCGATTAGACTAGATTTCGATGTTTCTATTTTATGATTATTTAATATCTTGATTTTTCGATTTTTCAATTTTTTGATATTTCCATTTTTTTTAATTTCACATTTTTCAGTTTTTAACATTCCAATTTTTCAATTTTTTCCGATGCTTCAGTTGAATTATTTTTTGATCTTTCCATTTCAGGATTTTTCAGTTTCTCAATTCTTCAGTTTTCCAATTATTCAATGTTATTTCGATTTGTGATTTTTGAATATTTCGATTCTTCAATTTTTCGATTTATCGACTTTTTGATTTTTCGATTTCTCAATTATTCAAATTTTCGATTTTTAAACTGTCGATTGCTCGATTTTTCGATATTTCAGCTTAGGATTTTCAATTTTCTTTTCTCCAGTTTTTCCTTTTTTCAATTTTTCGGTTTAACAATTTTTCGATTTCTCGATTTAGCTATATTTCGATGTTTCGATTTTATGGTTGTCCAATTTCTTGATTTTACGATTTCTCTATCTTTTGATGATTCGATTTCTCGATTGTTTAGTTTTTAAATTTTTATTTTTCAATTGTTCAATTTTTCTGTTACTCATTTTTCGATATTTCAATGCTGGACTTTTTCAATTTTTCCTTTCTTCAATATTCCGACTGCTGAAATTTTTGATTTCTCAATTTCACGATTAAACGCTTTTTTGATCTTCCCGTTTCACGATTTTTCAGTTTCTCAATTGTTCAGATTTTTCAATTTTTCGATTTTTTTAATTTTCGGTTTTTCGACTTCGATTTCCCGATTTTAAAATTTTTTGATGTTTCAGTTTTAGGATTTTTCAATTTTTCGATTTTTTAACTTTTCTTCCACATTTCAATGTTTCCATATTTCAGTTTTGGGTATTTTCAGTAATTCGATTTCTTAAATTTAACTTTTAAACGATTTTTTGATCTTTCTATTGCAGGATTTTTCAGATTCTCAATTCTAGTTTTCCAATTATTCAATGTTATTTCAATCTGTAATTTCTGAATATTTCGATTCTTCAATTTTTCGACCTTTCGACTTTTTGATTTTTCGATTTTTCAATTTTTCGTTTATTAAATCTTAGATTTTTTTTCTTTTGATTTCTGCATTTTTTTATTTTTCCATTTGTTTTCAATTTCTAAAATATTAGATTCTTCGATTCCTCGATTTCTCAATATTTCTGCTTTTTAATTTTTCGAATTTTTAAAATATAGATTTTTCATTTTTTTTTCGATTTCTCGATCTTTCGATTTTTCGACTTCTCAGTTTTAGGTTTTTCGATTTTTTAATTTTTAAGTTTACCAATTTTTTAATTTCTGGATTTAGTTAGACTTCAATGTTTTTATTTTATGTTCAATTTCTCGATTTTTCGATTTTTTAATTTGTCCTTGTTTTGATTTTTTTTAATTTTAAATTTTTCAGTTTTTAACTTTTCGATTTTTCGACTTCCAGATTTTTCGCTTTCACTAAATCTTGATGATTTGATTTCTCGATTTTTTAATTTTTCAATTTTTGGATATTCTTTAATTCTCCGATTTTTTAAATTTTGGATTCTGGATTACTCGATTTCTTGGTTTTTCGATTTTTCAATTTTTGGATTTTGAAATTTTTACTTTTTAAATTTTTCAAATTTTTGATGTTTGGATTTCTTGATTTTCAATTTTTCAATTCTTCAGTTTTTCGATAACTTGATTATTAGATTTTTCAACTTTTGATTTCCCAGTTTTTCGATATTTCAGTTAGAAATCAATTTTGTTACATTCAATTAATTATAATTGTAACGAGTTATGAGTTCTACCACTTTTTATATTTTTTGATTTTTCGATTTTTCAAATTTTTTATTTTTCGATTTTTTATTTCTCGATTTTTTCTTCTCTCAATGTCTCAATTTTCAGTTGCTTCAGTTTTACGATTTTTGAATTTTTCGACTCTTCAGTTTTTCGAGTTTTCAATTTTTCAATTTTTGACGTTTCTATGTTTAAATTTTTTCGATATATGTATTTTTCAAATTTTTGAATTTTCGATTCTTCAATTTTTTCGATTTCACGATTTTTTGATGTTTTTAAAATTTTTCGATTTTAAGATTTCTCGAAATTTCAAGTTTCCGATAATTTAATTTTTCGAGTTTTTGATGTTTCAAGGAAATTTGCGACAATTTATTTTTTCCAACAGACAATTATCTACATATATAGAAACATATTCTGACAAAGTGGTAAAATAATACAAAAAAAATTAATATATAAATTAATTAACTAGTTTAGTTAATTAATTGAAACATGTGATATTAAATTATTTTTTTTTTATTTCAAAAGAAAAACAAGTTAAAACCGTCGTATAAAAAAACATGCAACATAACCATTTTTACTTACCACCCTTATAAATCAAACTGGCTAACGTAAGCAACAAGAAAAACCGGTACAGATGTTCAGATGTTCTCAGACGTTCGCCATATGGAACCCAAAAATAATTTTGTCAAAATATGCAAAATATGCCATAAGTAATGAGATGGCCGGCCGGATCGCCAGACCTAAACCCTATCGAAAACCTTTGTGACGCTGGTTGATGAAGTAACAACTCCGTATAATTAAATCAATTAAAATATGAATCCTCAAAACAATAGGAAAAAATTGTGGCAAAACCCATTAATAACAATTATACAGCCTTGTTTATAAAAACAACGTCATTAGTCGCAATTTTTCCAAAGCGCCCACGTCAAGGCTGCAGACTTAATGCATGCATCACCACTCAGTAGTGTTGTTGCACCCGAACCAACCATGTCTTTTAAGTGCATCGATGTTCAAAAACTGTACGAAAAAGACAAGAACGTCAGAAAATCAGACGTGGATATTTTAACAGAATGGTTGAAAAAGCAGCCACATTTACCAGAAATGGAAGGTGATTATTAACATTTAAGTCCCATTAAAACAAAACCTGAATTGTGCAAAATATTTTACCAGAAATGCAAGTAGCCGCCTTTCTCCACAGTTGCTACTACCAGATAGAAAGAGCCAAAATCACCATCGACAACTACTTCACCATGAAAACTCACCACCCGGAATTATTTGCGACTTTGAATGAAACCCATCTGCGAAAATCGATGTCCGCGGTGTAGGTTTTCAAAAACACACACGACACTAAAAATTCAATAATCACGTTCTAGTTTCGTTAAGGTCCTGCCAAAAACTACTCCTGAAGGCTACGTCGTCATTTTGTTAAAACTGCTGGATTTTAAAGCCGACTATTTCAACTTTTTTGATCAGGTGTGTGTGATTAACATGGTTTCGACGCTCCATCTTCATCAGAATGGGTTTGAAACAGGCGCGGTGATAGTGTTTGACTCGAAAGGATTCACTTTAAGTCACTTAGCGAAATTTAACTTCAGTGCGTTGAAACATGCGGTGGATCACCTCCAGGAGGGTGCCCCAGTTAGGGTTAAAAGTGTGCACTTCATAAACGTGGTCCCCGTTCTCGACAAAGTCATGAGTTTGATCAAACCCTTGTTAAGGGGTGAAGTTTTCAACATGGTAAAATTAAAATCACGCGATGTGGAAAATTTTATGGTGTTTTCGTAGCTACAACTACATCCGTCTATGGAATCGTTCCACAAACACATACCGAAGGAATGCATGCCCGAAGACTACGGAGGGGGGGTTTCATCGTGCCAGAAGCTACAAGGTCGGTACTAACAATCGAAATTCGGTAACAACTTCCGGGTGTTCTAGACGAGAATTTGGAAAACTGTCTGAAGAGTTACGATTTTTTCCAATGGCATGAGTCGCAAAGGGTTGACGAGATGAAGCGAGTCGGAAAGTGTGCCAGTTCCTTCGGGATCGCCGGGACTTTCAAAAAATTGAATATTGATTAGGGTCAGATTTTTAATTTTTCGATTTTCTAATTATTCAATGTTTAAATTTCCCAATTTTTCATCATTTTAGTTTTGAGATTTTTTTCAATTTCCCCATTTTTCAGTTTTTCAATTCTTCAATCTTCCAAATTTTGAATTTTTCATTTCTCGATTTCTCGGTTTTTAGAACTTTGAATTTTTGATTTTTCCAATTTTTCAATTTTTCGATTTAGCTAGATTTCGATGTTTCGACTTTTTGATTGTTCAATTTCCCTAGCAATTTCTGGATTATTTTTAATTTAAAATTTTTCAATTTTTAACTTGGCAATTTTTCGATTTTGGCCTATTTCGATTTCTCAGTTTTTGGATCTTTATCGACTTTCCGATTTTTTGATATCTGAATGTTTCAATTTTTAAATTTTCTTCGTGTTCTCGGTTTTTCGACTTTTCAGCTTATTGATTTTTCGATTTTCTAATTTTTCGACGTTTCGAGTTCCCAATTTTTCGTCATTTAAGTTTTGGGATTTTTTCAATTTGTCGATTTTTCAATTTTTGACGTCTTTAAATTTTCAATTTTTTGATTTCTCAAGTTCTCAGTTAAACAATTTCACTAGTTCGTATATTCTTCAATTTTTCGATTTTTTCAATTTCCGATTTCTGAATGTTCTGATCCTTCAGTTTTACGATTTTTCAATTTTTCGATTCATCAATTACTCGATTTTTCAATTTTTCAATTTTTGACGTTTCTAAATTTTCAACTTTTCGTTTTTTGATTTTTAATTTTTTTATTTTTTCGATTCTTTGATGTTTCGACTTGTCAGTTTTTCAGTTTTTCGATATTTATCAGTTTTTAAAATGTTAGATTTTTCGATTTCTCGTTTTCTCGATATTTCAATTTTTTAATTCTTCGAATTTTTAAACCTTATATTTTTCTTGATGTTTCGATTTCTCGATCTTTCGATTTTTCAACCTCTAGGTTTTAGATTTTTTGGTTTTTAAATTTTTCGTTTTTCAGGCTTCTTGATTTTTCAATTTTTGGATTTAGCTAGATTTCGATGGTTTTTTCGATTTTTCCATTTTTCGATTTTTGAATTTTAAATTTTCTATATTTTCGGTTTTTTGATATTTTTCAACATTTAAAATTTTAGACTTTTCAAGTTTTCGATATTTAGATTTTTTTTAATTTAAAATTTTTCAGTTTTCGATTTTTCGATTTTGGCCAATTTCAATGATTCAATTTTTCAATTTTTCAACTTCTACACTTTTCGATTTCTCCATCTTTAGATGATTCGCTTTCTCGACTTTTTAATTTTTAAATTTTTCAATTTTTTAATGCTTGAATTCCTCATTTTTTTTATATTCCAATTTTTCAAATTTTAAATTTTATATTTTTCAGTTTTCTATTTCTCGACTTTTCGGTATTTTAGCTTCGGGTTTTCCAGCTTTTGTATTCTTCGATTTTTCGATTATTCAAACGATTTTTGATTTTTCCATTTTTTGATTTTAAGAATATTGGGATTTTAAATTTTTCTTTCATTTTGCAATTTTTTGGTATTTCAGTTTTGAGGTTTTTCAATATTTCGATTTTTCGATATTTTTAAAATTTTCGATTTTTCGATTTCTCGATATTTCAATTTTTTAATTTTTCGAATTTTTAAGGTTTATATTTTTCAGTTTCGTTATGTTTCGATTTTTCGACCTCTCGGTTTTAGATTTTTCGATTTTTCAATTTTTCGATTTAGCAAAAACTAGATATTTCGATTTTTTGATTGTTCAATTTTCCTATCAATTTCTGTATTATTTTATTTTTATTTTAAATTTTTCAATTTTTAAATTGTCGGTTTTGGCCTATTTCGATTTCTCAGTTTTGGAATTTTTCGACTTCTCGACTTTTCGATTTCTTGATATATCGATATTTCAGTTTTTAAATTTTCCGATGTTTCAACTCTTCGATTTCTCGGATTTTCGACTGTTCAGCTTTATAAATTTTCGATTTTCTAATTTTTCGATGTTTCAATTTTTCAGTTTTTCTATTTCCCAAATTTTCATCATTTCGGTTTTGAGATTTTTTCAATTTCCCCATTTTTCAGTTTTTCAATTCTTCAATCTTCCAAATTTTGAATTTTTCATTTCTCGATTTCTCGGTATTTAGATTTTTGAATTTTTGATTCTTTCGATTTTTTGATTTTTCAATATTTCTATTTTCCAATTTTTCAATTTTTCGATTTAGCTAGATTTCGATGTTTCGACTTTTTGATTGTTCAATTTCCCTATCAATTTCTGAATTATTTTTAATTTTAAATTTTTCCATTTTTAAATTTTCTGGTGTTTCAATCCTTCGATTTCTCGGTTTTTCGTCATTTAAGTTTTGGGGTTTTTTCAATTTCTCGATTTCTCAGTTTTTCAACTTTTCAATTTTCCGATTTTTCAATTTTTCAATTTTTAACGTTTTTAAATTTTCAATGTTTTGATTTCTCAATTTTAAACAATTTTTTAATTTTCCTACTTTTCAATTAATAATAATAATGGTGGGTCTTAATAATAATTTTTATTTTTTATTTTTCGATTTCTCGATTTTCTACTTTTTCGATTTTTCAGTTTTTCGGTTTTTACATTATAATGTTTTTTTTTCGATTGTTTGATATTTCGATTTATCAGTATTATTTTAATTCTTGGATATTTTTCAATTTTTAAAATTTTAAATTTCTGGATTTTTCGACATCTCTATTTTTTAATTTTTCGATTTAAGTTTTAATTAAGTTTTTTGATTTACCTAGATTTCGATGTTTCGATTCTCGTTTTTTTTTTAATTTTAAAAGTTTCAATTTTTAAGTTTTCGATTTTTGCGTATTTCGATTTCTCAATTTTTCGCCTTTTCTACTTTTCGATTTCTAGATACATATTTCGATCTTTTGATGTTTCGATATCTCGATATTTCAGTTTTGAAATTTCCCGATGTTTCAATTCTTTGATTCCGCAGATTTTTTATTTTTCGTCATTTCAGTTATGGAATTTTTTCAATTTCCCATTTTTTTCAGTTTTTCAACTTTTCAATTTTCCGATTTTCCAATTTTTCTATTTTTCGATTCAGCTTAATTTCGATGTTTCGATTTTTTGATTGCTCAATTTTTCTAACAATTTCAATTTTTTTTAATTTAAAATTTTTCAATTTTCTACTTTTTCGATTTTTCAGTTTTCCGGTTTTACATTTTAAATGTCTTTTTTTGGATTTTTTGATGTTTCGATTTGTGAGTTTTCCAATTCTTCGATACTTTTCAATTTTTAAAATTTTAAATTTCTGGATTTTTCGACATTTCTATTTTAAAAATTTTAATTTTTCGAATTTTTAAACTTTGTACAGTTTATTGATGTTTCGTTTTCCCGATCTTTCGATTTTTCGACCTACCCGTTTTAGATTTTTGATTTCCCGATTTTTTCGGCTTTTCGATGTTTTAATTTTTCGATTTTCCAATTTTTACTCATTTCAGCTTTGGAATTTTGTTAAATTTCTCGATTTTTCAGTTTTTCAATTCTTCAATTTTCCGCTATTTAAATTTTGGATTTTTGAATTATACAATTTTTCCAATTTTTGATGTTTTGATTTATTTTAGTTTTTCAAGAAAACATGTTTTAGTTTAATTTGTGTTTCACCGCCACGTCTACAGGTTGTGTTATGGCTATTTGTCTTAAATTACAAGTAATATACAAGGTGTTCATTTTATCTGTTCACGCCTGACAATTTTTGCATAGGCAACATATTATACAGTATACACCTCAGAGACGGCTTCGTCCAATTTAATTTTTTTTAATAAGCAGTCATAACAATCACAGAAAAACAATGATAAAGATGTCAATGCCAAATAATGACAAAATTAAAAAAATTAATACTCATTTTATTTTAAAATGCCATAACAGGCATGCAGTCGTCACATTTCCGACAGCGAGGGAAGTACTGTATAACACTTTAGACTAATTTTTTTTATTTCAAAATGTCCAGTTTTTAACATTTCGATTTCTCGATTTTGGCCTATTTCGATTTTTCGATTTCTCGATTTTTTAATTTTTAAATTTTTCGATATTTCTATTTTCCGATGTTCCTATTTTAGAAATTCCAAAACGAAAATGACAAAAAATTTAGAATTTTTTGTCATTTTCGTTTTGGAATTTTTGTATTTCTGGATTTTGCAGTTTTTGGATTCTTCAATTATCCGATTTTTGAATTTTTCGATTTTCCACATATTGATTTTTCAATTATTGGATTTTTAAGTTTCTCAATTTTACGATTTTTTGGATTTATTGATTTTCAATTTTTGGATTTCTGGAATTTCAACGTTTCGATTGTTCAATTTGTCGATATTTTAAATTTTATATTTTTTAAGTTCCGGTTTTTCGATATTTCTGTTATGGGTTTTAATAACTTTTACATTCTTTGATTTTTCGATTTTTCAAATTTTTTATTTCCCGATTTTTTCCTTTGTTGATTTCTCAACTTCTCGCCTTTTCAGTGTTTCAGTTTTTCCACTTTTCTATAGTTTAATTTTTCGATTTCTCAGGTTTGTGATTTTTCAGTTTTTCGATTTTGCGAGCTTTCGACTTCTGCATATTTTTATTTTTGATTTTTCGATCTTTAAATTTTTGGTTTTTAAATTTTCGATTTCGGCTTATTTTGGTTTATCAATTTTTAGATTTTTCGACTTCTCGACTTGTCGATTTCTTGATATTTCAGTTTTTGAATTTTTCCATGTTTGGATTTTTCGATTTTCCAACTTTGCGATCAGTTTTCAATTTTACAATTTTTGATGTTTCTAAATTTTCAAGTTTCTATTTCTCAATTTTTCAATTAAATGATTTTTGATTTTCCCATTTCTCGATTTCTCGACTAACCAATTTTTCAATTTCTGATTTTTTACTGTTTGGATTTTTGAATTTTTCGGGTTTTAATTTTTTTTTTCTTTTTTTGGTGTTTCCATTTGTCAGTTTTTGAAGTTTTCTATATTATCCAATTTTTAAAATTTCACATTTTTCGATTTTTCGGTTTTTCGATTCTTCAATTTTCCGATTTCTCAATTTTCAGTTTTTCAAATTTTGGATTTTCGATTTCACAGTTTTTCGATTTTTGAGTTTTAGATTTTCAAATTTTTAAATTTTTCGATTATTTGATGTTTCGATTTCTCGCCTTTCAATTTTTCGATTCTTCAATTTTTTGGGTATTTTAATTTATCAATTTTTACAACTTTTAATCTTTCGATTTCTCGACTTTTAAATTTTTCAGTTCTTCGATATATGTTGTTACGATTTTTTTTTTTGGAGTCGAGGGTGAAAGGGGCTTAGACGAAGTCTCGCTCGATGGTTTTAATCGGTCGTAGCGAACGCCTGTCACCGATCTCGACCTCTTTTTTTATTGCGGATTGTCGCCGGCAGCTCCGCCAAATTTTGAGTTTTTTTTTGCCTCTACGAAGTAGTACTGGCGGGGACGGAGACGGCCAAGCGAGAGGTGGGGGTGCAAAGTGAGAGAAGAGTGAGAGTTGGTGCCGAGAAGAGGTGATTTGAGTTTGGCGAGGTTTGACCTGATGGTTTCCTTTCTTTTTTGAGAGTACTCAGTTCCATAGATTGATAGTGAGGCGTATCCCTTGTATAAGGTAAATTTCGTGCCTTTTGCCGCATGTAGGCTTATTGCTCCACCTGTAGGGTCCACGCCAGGGGCGAAGTTTCGGAGCCGTACAGAGGCGACGTAGAGGGCAGCGAAACGAGGGAAATTTGCTGGGCGTAGCGCCAGCTAGGAGACCCGGAGTTTTTGGATGATCGCGACGTCGAAGACGCGGACCTGGTGAGTTGAACATCGGGGGATCCAGGCCGCGGCAGGACTTGGTCAGCGCGTCGCCGTCGTCCTGTGGGAAGACTCCTGTTTTTTTGAGCTACGAGTAAAAGAACACGCCTTATCGCGATCGGAAATTTTCTTATCATTTGTCGCCAGACCCAACCGTTTTTTTTGCGTCTCTCTCTTTCACTCTTTACATGCTTTTCAACGTTTTTTCAAATTTTCACGTACCCGCATAAATTTGATGGCGCCCAATTTTTTTTATTTGTGAAATAGTCAGCATTTCCTGTAACTAGCTAGTAGACCGTTGTTGCGTAGTAGTTCGTCAGTTCATTTGTTGTGGTAATTCGTTACTGACATTAGTTGTAGTTTTGTTACCTTTTACTAACCTAGATAATATTTTTTTTTGTACTAAAAGCCCTAAATATTTTAATTATTATACAGCTCGCCAAAATAATTAGCCTTTCATTCTGAATTAAAATCTCGGATCCACCTACCGGCTCTCCCGGAAGTGAGCACGGGCAAGTGTATCTTCCCTCGCTTTTATAGCAGAGACGACGTTTTAAGGTAACAATGTATTTTTGAATTTTTCGAATTTTTATATTTTTAAATTAAATTTTACGTTCTTCGATTCTTCAATTTTTTCGACTTCACGATTTTTGACGTTTCGATTTCTTGACATCTCGGTTTTTAAAATTCTTCAACTTTTCGATTTTAAGATTTCTCGAAATTTCAAGTTTTCGATAATTTAATTTTTGGATTTTTTGATGTTTCAAAGAAATTTGCGACAGTTTTAATCGTGGAGATTTGGATTCTTTATTTCAAAACAAAAATAAGTTAAAACCGTCGTATAAAAAATATGCAACATAACCCTTTTTACTTGCCAGTATTAGACATGAAATATTGTATACTCAGTCGACGTATACCTAGCTAAGCTTTTAAGACAAACCGCGCTTATAAATCAAACTGGCTAATGTAAACAACAAGAAAAACCGGTTTCAGACTCGCCAAATGAAAACCATAAATAAATTTGTCAGAATATACAAAAGTAATGAGATGGCCGGCCAGCTCACCAGACCTAAACCCTATCGAAAACCTTTGTCACATTCTGTTTGATGAAGTAGCAAAGCCGTATAATTAAAATCAATTAAAATATGAATCCCAAAAACAATAGGAACAAAAAATCCATTACTAATAATTATGCAGCCTTGTTTATAAAAACAACACCATTAGTCGCAATTTTTCCAACGCGTCCACGTCAAGGCTGCAGACTTAATGCATGCATCACCATTCAGTAGTGTTGTTGCACCCGAACCAACCATGTCTTTTAAGTGCATCGATGTTCAAAAACTGTACGAAAAAGACAAGAACGTCAGAAAATCAGACGTGGAAATTTTAACAGAATGGTTGAAAAAGCAGCCACATTTACCAGAAATGGAAGGTGATTATTAACATTTAACTCCCATTTAAACAAAACCTGAATTGTGCAAAATATTTTACCAGAAATGCAAGTAGCCGCCTTTCTCCACAGTTGCTACTACCAGATTGAAAGAGCCAAAATCACCATCGACAACTACTTTACCATGAAAACTCACCACCCGGAATTATTTACGACTTTGAATGAAACCCAGCTGCGAAAATCGATGTCCGCGGTGTAGGTTTTCAAAAAAACAAACACCGCAACACTAAAAATTCAATAATCATGTTCTAGTTTCGTTAAGGTCCTACCAAAAACTACTCCTGAAGGCTACGTCGTCTTTTTGTTAAAACTGCTGGATTTTAAAGCCGACTATTTCAACTTTTTTGATCAGGTGTGTGTGATTAACATGGTTTCGACGCTCTATCTTCATCAGAATGGGTTTGAAACAGGCGCGGTGATAGTATTTGACTCGAAAGGATTCACTTTAAGTCACTTGCGAAATTTAACTTCAGTGCGTTGAAACATGCGGTGGATCACCTCCAGGAGGGTGCCCCAGTTAGGGTCAAAAGTGTCCACTTCATAAACGTGGTCCCCGTGCTCGACAAAGTCATGAGTTTGATCAAACCCTTGTTAAGGGGCGAAGTTTTCAACATGGTAAAGTTAAAATCACGCGCTGTGGAAATTTTAACGTGTTTTCGTAGTTACAACTACATCCGTCTATGGAATCGTTCCACAAACACATACCGAAGGAATGCATGCCTGAAGACTACGGAGGGGGGGTTTCGTCGTGCCAGAAGCTACAAGGTCGGTACTAACAATCGAAATTCGGTAACAACTTCCGGGTGTTCTAGACGAAAATTTGGAAAACTGTCTGAAGAGTTACGATTTTTTCCAATGGCATGAGTCGCAAAGGGTCGACGAGATGAAGCGAGTCGGAAAGTGTGCCAGTTCCTTCGGGATCGACGGGACTTTCAAAAAATTGAATATTGATTAGGGTCAGCTTTTTAATTTTTCGATTTTCTAATTATTCAATGTTTAAATTTCCCAATTTTTCATCATTTTACTTTTGAGATCTTTTTCAATTTCCCCACTTTTCAGTTTTTCAATTCTTGAATCTTCCAAATTTTGAATTTTTCATTTCTCGATTTCTCGGTTTTTAGAACTTTGAATTTTTGATTTTTCCAATTTTTCAATTTTTCGATTTAGCTAGATTTCGATGTTTCGACTTTTTGATTGTTCAATTTCCCTACCAGTTTCTGGATTATTTTTAATTTTAAATTTTTCAATTTTTAACTTGGCAATTTTTCGATTTTGGCCTATTTCGATTTCTCAGTTTTTGGATCTTTATCGACTTTCCGATTTTTTGATATCTGGATGTTTCAATTTTTAAATTTTCTTCGTGTTCTCGGTTTTTCGACTTTTCAGCTTATTGATTTTTCGATTTTCTAATTTTTCGACGTTTCGAGTTCCCAATTTTTCGTCATTTAAGTTTTGGGATTTTTTCAATTTGTCGATTTTTCAATTTTTGACGTCTTTAAATTTTCAATTTTTTGATTTCTCAAGTTCTCAGTTAAACAATTTCACTAGTTCGTATATTCTTCAATTTTTCGATTTTTTCAATTTCCGATTTCTCAATGTTCTGATCCTTCAGTTTTACGATTTTTCAATTTTTCGATTCATCAATTACTCGATTTTTCAATTTTTCAATTTTTGACGTTTCTAAATTTTCAACTTTTCGTTTTTTGATTTTTAATTTTTTTATTTTTTCGATTCTTTGATGTTTCGACTTGTCAGTTTTTCAATTTTCGATTTTTATCAGTTTTTAAAATGTTAGATTTTTCGATTTCTCGTTTTCTCGATATTTCAATTTTTTAATTCTTGGAATTTTTAAACCTTATATTTTTCTTGATGTTTCGATTTCTCGATCTTTCGATTTTTCGACCTCTAGGTTTTAGATTTTTTGGTTTTTAAATTTCTCGCTTTTCAGGCTTCTTGATTTTTCAATTTTTGGATTTGGCTAGATTTCGATGTTTCGATTTTTTGATAATTCAATTTCTCAATTTCTCGGTTTCTTAAATTTCGATTTTTCCATTTTTCGATTTTTAAATTTTAAATTTTTTATATTTTCGGTTTTTTGATGTTCGATTTCCCGATTTTTCAATTTTTCAATATTTTCCAATATTTAAAATTTTAGATTTTTCAATTTTTCGATGTTTCGATTTTTTTAATTTAAAATTTTTTCGTCATTTTAGTTTTGAATTTTTCAATTTTACGATTTTTCAATGCTCGAATTTCTTGATTTTCAATTTTTTAATTCCTCAATTTTTTGATATTCCAATTTTCCAATTTTTTAAATTTTATATTTTTCAGTTTTCTATTTCTCGACTTTTCGGTATTTTAGCTTCGGGTTTTCCAGCTTTTGTATTCTTCGATTTTTGATTATTCAAATGATTTTTGATTTTTCCATTTTTTGGTTTTTAGAATATTGATATTTCAGTTTGGGATTTTCAATTTTTCTTTCATTTTGCAATTTTTTGGTATTTCAGTTTTGAGGTTTTTCAATACCTACTTCGATTTTTCGATATTTTTAAAATTTTCGATTTTTCGATTTTCCGATTTCTCGATATTTAAATTTATTTTATTTTTCGAATTTTTAAACTTTTTAGATTTTTCAATTTCTGTATGTTTCGATTTTTCGACCTCTTATTTGGTTCTAGATTTTTCGATTTTTCAATTTTTCAATTTTTCGATTTAGCAAAATCTGGATGGTTCGATTTTTTGATTGTTCAATTTCCCTATCAATTTCTGGATTGTTTTATTTTTATTTTAAATTTTTCAATTTTTAACTTATCGATTTTTCGGTTGTGGCCTATTTCGATTTCTCAATACTTGGATTTTTCGACTTGTCGACTTTCGATTTCTTGAAATATCGATGTTTCAGTTTTTAAATTTTCCAATGTCTCAATTCTTCGATTTCTCGGTTTTTCGACTTTTCAGATTTTTAATTTTTCGATTTTCTAATTTTTCAATGTTTCAATTTTTCAGTTTTTCGATTTCCCGATTTTTCATCATTTCGATATTTTAGTTTTTGGGATTTTCAGTATTTGGATTCTTCAATTTTTAGTCTTTCGGTTTCTCAATTTTTCAATATTTAAAATTTTCGATTTTGCGATTTTTCAATTTTTTAATTTGGATTAGATTTCGATGTTTCTATTTTATGGTTATTTAATTTCTTGATTTTTCGATTTTTCAATTTTTCGATGTTTCCATTTTTTTAAATTTCACATTTTTCAGTTTTTAACATTTCAATTTTTTTATTTTTTCCGATGCTTCAGTTCTACGGTTTTTCAATTTTTCGATTTCTCAATTTGACGACTAAACGATTTTTTCATCTTTCCATTTCAGGATTTTTCAGTTTCTCAATTCTTCAGTTTTCCAATTATTCAATTTTATTTCAATTTGTGATTTTTGAATATTTCGATTCAATTTTTCGATTTTTGGACTTTTAAATTTTTAATTTTTGAATTTTTTAAATTTTTGATGTTTGGATTTCTTTATGTTCAATTTTTCAATTCTTAAGTTTGTCGATAACTTAAATTTTTGATTTTTCAACTTTTGATGTCCCAATTTTCCGAAATTTTCAATTTCGTTACTTTCAATTAATTTATATTTTTTAATTTTTCGATTTTTCAAATTTTTGATTTCTCGATTTTTTTCTTCTCTTAATTTCTCAAATTTCCGATGCTTTAGTTTTACGATTTTTGAATTTTTCGAGTTTTGATTTTATCAACTTTTGACGTTTCGATGTTTAAAATTTTTTTTCGACTTTTCATTTTTTTATTTTTTTTTTCAATTTTCCTATTTTGGCCTATTTCGATTTCTCAATTTTTGGATTTTTCGACTTCTCGATATTTCAATCTTTTGATGTTTCAGTTTATAAATTGTCCGATGTTTCAATTTTTCAATTTCTCGGTTTTTCGATTTTCCGACGCTTTTTCGATGTTCAGATATTTTTCAATTTTTCGTCATTTCAGTTTTGGGATTTTTTCAATTTCTCAATTTTTTCAGTTTTTGTATCAATTTTCCGATAATTCAGTTTTCGAATTTAAATTTTAGACTTTTGAATTTCTCAATTTTTCGATTTTTTGATGTTGCGATTTCTCGATTTTCAATTTTTTGTTTATTTTTAATTTTCTTGGTTTTTCAATTTATTTATTTTTAAAATTTTACGTTCTTCATTTTCTCAAATTTTCAATGTTTCGATTTCTTGATATCTCGGTTTTTCGGTATTTAAAATTTTTCGATTTTTCAATTTTAAAGGTTCCCCATTTTTCCATTTGTCAATATACTTCAATTTTTAGAATTGTAGATTTTTCAATTTCTCGATTCCTCAATATTTTTATTTTTCAGTTTTTCAAATTTTTAGATTTAGATTTTTCAATTTTTCAATTTCTCGAATTTAGCTAGATTTTGATGTTTCGATCTTTTCCCGACTTTGCGATTTTTAATTTATCTTTTTCGATTGTCCAATTTTTCGATTTTCGAATTTTCCGTTCATTTCAGTTTTGGAATTTTTCAATTTCTCTAGTTTCTCAGTTTTAGATTCTTCCATTTTCCGATTTCTGAATTTTTCGATTATTTAAATTTTGGATTTTCGATTTCTCGATTTCTTGGTTTTTCGATTTTTGGACTTTTCGAATTTTCAATGTTTAGAATTTTCAATGTTTGGAATTTTCAAATTTTCGATTGTTTTCGCTTATTTTGGTTTTCTCAATTTTTCGATTTTTCGACTTCTCGACTTGTCGATTTTTTTATCTTTTGATGTTTCGATTTTTCGATCTTCCAACTTTACAATCAATTTTGAATTTTTCAATATTTTCTGTTTCTAAATTTTTATTTTTTTTTTAATTTAAAAATTTTTGTTTTCCATATTTCGATTTTATTGTTTCGATTTTTTCGATTTCTCGATCTTTTGATGATTTGATTCGATTTCTTGATTTTTTAATTTTTATCTTTTTCGATTGTCCAATTTTTCGATTTTCGAATTTTCCGTTCATTTCAGTTTTGGAATTTTTCAATTTCTCGAGTTTCTCAGTTTTTCGATTGTTCAATTTTCCGATTTCTGAATTTTTCGATTATTTAAATTTTGGATTTTCGATTTCTCGATTTCTTGGTTTTTCGATTTTTGGACTTTTCGAATTTTCAATGTTTGGAATGTTTCGAATTTTGATTGTTTTCGCTTATTTTGGTTTTCTCAATTTTTCGATTTTTTGACTTCTCGACTTGTCGATTTTTTGATCTTTTAATGTTTTGATTTTTCGATCTTCCGACTTTACAATCAATTTTGAAATTTTCAATTATTGCTGTTTCTAAATTTTCAATTTTTCCATTTCTCAATTTTTCAATTAATCGATTTTTGATTTTCCCATTTCACGACCAATCAATTTTTCTATTTCTTGATTTTTTTACTGTTTGGAGTTTTCAAATTTTCGGTTTTTAAATTTAGTTTTTTTTGTTTTTTCTTTTCTTTGATGTTTCCATTTGTCAGTTTTTCAATTTTTCAATATTTTCCAATTTTTAAAGTTTCAGATTTTTCAATTTTTTCTCGACATTTCTATCTTTTAATTTTTCGAATTTTTAAACTTTAGTTTTTCCGTTTTTCGGTTTTTCAATTTTTCAATTATTCACTTTAGCTAGATTTCGATGTCTAGTTTTTTTGATTGTTGAATTTCTCAAGTTCTCGATTTTTTTAATTTTAAATTTTTCGATTGTTGACTTTTCTATTTTCAATTTTTCCATTTCTCAATTTTTCAATTAATCGATTTTTTGATTTTCCCATTTCTCGATTTCTCGACTGATTAATTTTTCTATTTCTTGACTTTTTACTGTTTGGATTAAATTTTTTTATGTTTTCTTTTTTCGGATGTTTCTATTTGTCAGTTTTTCAATTTTCCGATATTTTTCAATTTTTAAAAGCTTAGGTTTTTCGATTTTTTCCCAACATTTTTAGTTTTTAATTTTTCAAATTTTTAAACTTTGGTTTTTTCGTTTTTCGGTTTTTGGATGTTCCAATTTTTCAATTATT